CAAAGAAACCTACAGGAATTCGATGGGAAGGCACCGTGGGAAGCATATAGAGCACAATTTGAGCTCCTGATAGAGATGAATGGATGGACAGAGGAGCAGAAAGCAGTATATTTGGCAACGAGCTTGAAGGGACATCCACTGGAAATACTTGGACAGTTGTCAGCAGACGACAAGCACAACTATAGAGCACTGGTAGCGGCTCTAGAACTCAGGTATGGAACCCAAAATCAGTCAGAAGTCTACAAGGCTAGGTTTAGGACGAAAGTCCGTGCTAAAGGGGAGAGCCTGCAAGAGCTGGCACACGACTTGGAAAGTGTGGTACACAAGGCCTACCCAACTGCACCACCCGATCTCCTCAAGTTGTTGCTGAGGGATCAGTTTGTAGATGCCTTGGACAGTCCACAACTGACGATACAAGTGCAGCAAGCACACCCCTCTACTATGCAGGATGCAATGGCCAGAGCTCTTGAATTTTAATCCTACGCTAAGTCCAGCACAGAGGTACCAAGGTTGGTACAGTCATTAGGATTAAAGGCCAGAAAAGGTCAGCTTTCAGAGAAGTTTGAGGGACTTTGCTGGCACTATAACAAACCTGGGCACACCATGCTCACTAACAATGTGACTTAAGTAAAACACCTCTTTCTGGAACAAGTGGCATTTCTTGGGATGGAGTTTGAGGTTTGCTGCTTTCAAACACTTGAATACTTCCTCTAGCCAGGACATTTCCTCATCAAAAGTTGTTGCAAATACAATGACATCGTCCAGGTACACTAGGGCTATCCTCCATTGTAAGCCTTCCAATACTCTTTCCATCAGCCTCTTAAATGTTGCTGGAGCATTACTAAGCCCGAATGGCATCACTCGGTATTGCCAGAGACTTTGGCCATAACTAAATGCTGTCTTAGGTCTATCTGTTTCAGCCATTTTTACTTGATGGTAACCTGACTTTAAGTCCAGAGTTGAAAACCACCTGGCTCCACTTAGGGCATCAAGAGTATCATCAATTCTTGGCAGTGGA